TAGACCTATGAAAAGACTTAGACAGCAACAACACACAATAATAATGGGGGACCTCAACACCTCACTAACAACATTAGGCAGATCATTGAGGCAGAAAACTAACAAAGATATTCTGGACTTAAATTCAACACTTAACCAATTGGCCCTAATAGATATCTACTGAATACTCCACCCATCAACCACCAAACATACATTGCTCTCATCTGCACAGAATATACTTCAAGATCAACCATATGCTGAGTCATAAAACAAGTCTCAATAAATTCAAAAAAATAGAAATTATGCCAGTCACACTCTTGGACCACAGTGGAATAAAAATAGAAATCAACACCAAGACGATTACTCAAAATCACACAATTACATGAAATTAAAAAACTCTTTCCTGAATTACTTTTAAGTAAACAAAAAAATCAAGGCAAAAGTAAAAACATTCTTTGAAATAAATGAAAACAAAGACACAACATACCAAAATCTCCAGTATGCAGCAAAAGCAATATTACAAGGAAAGTTTATAGCCATAAACACCTACCTCAAAAAGTTAGAAAGATCTCAAATTAACAAAGTAACATCACGCCTAGAGGAACTAGAAAAACAAGAACAAACTAACCTCAAAGCTAGTAGAATAAAAGAAATACTAAAATCAGAGCAGAACTGAATGAAATTGAGAGCCAAAAATTTATGTAAAGAATCAGTGAAACCAAAAGTTGGTTTTTTGAAAGGATAAACAAGATTAATAAACTACTACTAGCTTAACAAAAAAAGAGAAAATCCAAATAAGCACAGTCAGAAATGACAAAGAAGACATTACAATTGATCTCACAGAAATACAAAAGATCCTTAGAGACTATTATGAACACCTCTATGCACATAGACTAGAAAATCTAGAGGAAATGAATAAATTCCTAGAAATACACTTTTCATTTCCCTTGGAAACTGAAACAAGAAAAGGATGCCCACCCACTACTACTCAACATGATAGTGGAAGTCCAGAGCAATCAGGCAAGAGAAAGAAATAAAAGGCATACAAGTAGGAAAAGAAGTTAAATTCTCTCTTTACTAATGGTAAGATTCTATTCCTTGAAAACCCTGAAGACTTCACCAAAAGGCTCCTGAAACTGATCAACAACTTCAGTAAAGTTTCAGCAAACAAAGTTAATATCCCAAGATTGAATTGGGAAGAAATTGAAACCCTGAACAAATTAATATTGAGTTATGAAATTGAATCAGTAATATTAAAAACCTACTAACTAAAAATAACCCCCAGACTAGACGGGCTCATAGCTGAATTCTACCTGATGTACAAAGAAGAGCCACTACCAATCAATCCTACTTAAACTATTCCAGAATATCAAGGAAGAAGGACTCCTCCCTAACTCATTCAGTGAGGCTAGAACCACCCTGATACCAAACCTTGCAAAGACACAATGAAAAAAGAAAACTTCAACCCGATATCCCTGATGAATATAGACACAAAAATCCACAACAAAATACTAGCAAACGAAATCCAGCAGCACATCAAATAGTTAATTCACATTAATCAAAAAGACTTCTTCTTAGGATGCAAGGTTGGTTCAACATACGCAAATGAATAAATGTTATTCACCACATAAACAGAGTTAAAAACAAAAACCATATGATCATATCAATAGACAAAGAAAAAGCTTTTGATAAACTTTAACATCCCTTCATGACAAAAACCTTCAAGAAATTAGGCACTGAAAGAACACCCCTCAAAATAATAAGACCCATCCGTCTATGACAAATCTGCAGTCAACACCATACTGAATGGGCAAAAACTGGGATCATTCCCCTTGAAAACTGGAAAACGACAAGGATGCCCACTCTCATCCCTCCTATTCAACATAGCAGTGGAAGTCCCTGCCAGAGCAATCAAGCAAGAGAAAGAAATCAAAGGCATATGAATAGGAAAAGAAGAAGTCAAATTCTCTCTCTTTACTGATGATATGATTCTATTCCTAGAAACCCTAAAGACTTCACCAAAAGGCTTCTGGAATTGATAAACAACTTCAGTAAAGTCTCAGTACAAAAAGTCAATGTGCAAAAATCAGTAGCATTTCTGTGCGCCAAAAACCATTAAAGTTGGGAGCCAAATGAAGAACATAATCTCATTTATAATAGCTGCAAAAATGAAATAAAATAAAATACCTAGGACTACATCTAACCAAGAAGGTAAACAAATCTCTACAAGGAGCGCTATAAAACACTGCTGAAGGAAATCACAGCTGACACAAACAAACGGAAAAACGTTCCATGTTCATAAATTGGAAGAATTAATATTGGTAAAATGGCCATACTGTCCAAAGCAATATGCAGATTCAATGCTATTCTTATCAAGCTACCAATGTCATTTTTCACATAACCAGAAAAAAATCTATTCTAAAAATTCATATGGAATCAGAAATTAGCCTGAATAACCAAAGCAACCCTAAGCAAGAACAAAGCTGGAAATATGACATTACTTGACCTCAAACTGTACTATAAGGCTACAGTAACCAAACATGGTACTGGTACAAAAACAGACACATAAACCAGTGGAACAGAACAGAGAGCCCAGAAATAAAGCTATACACCTACAGCCATCTGATCTTCGACAAAGTTGACAAAAATAAGCAATAGGGAAAGGACTCCCTATTCAATAAATGGTTTGGGAATAGCTAACTATCCATATGCAGAAGAACGAAACTGGACCCCTATCTTTCATCATATACAAAAATTAACTCAATATGCATTAAAGATTTACCTCAACTTGTAAAAATTCTAGAAGAAAACCTAGGAAACATTCTGTACGTCAGTCTTGGGAAATAATTTATGATGAAGACATCAAAAGCAATTGTAGCAAAAATAAAAATTGACAAGTGGGACCTAATTAAACCAAACAGCTTCTGCATATAGAAACTATCAACAGAGTAAACAATTAACCTACAAAATGGGAGGAAATATTTGCAAACTATGCATCTGACAAAGGTCTAATATCCAAAATCTATAAGGATCTTAAACAATTAAATAAGCAAAACCCAAATAATCCCATTAAAAAGTGGGCAAAGTCATGAACAGACACTTCTCCAAAAAAGACATAATAAGTGGCCAACAAACATTAAAGAAAATGCTCAGTATCACCAATCACCAGAGAAATGCAACTCAAAAGCACAATGAGACACCCCCCTCACACCAGTCAGGAGGGGTATTGTTAAAAAGTCAAAAAACAGCAGACGTTGGTTAGTCTGTGGAGAAAAGAAAACGCTCATACAATGTTGGTGGGAATGTAAATTAGTCCAGTCACTGTGGAAAGCAGTTTGGAGACTTCTCAAAGAACTTAAAACACAAATATCATTCCACCCAGCAATCCCATTACTGGTTATATATCCAAAGGAAAGTAAATTATTTTACCATAAAAAGAAATTGCATTCATATTTTTTTCACAGCACTATTCACAGTAACAAAGACATGAAATCCACTTAGGTGTCCATCAACAGTGTAATGAATAAACAAAATGAGGCACATATATACCACGGAATACTACACAGCCATATAAAAAAATGAAATCATGTCCTTTGCAGCAACATGGATGTAGCCGGAGGCCATTGTCCTAAGCAAATGAATGCAAGAACAGAAAACATGAAACCACATGTCCTCACTTATAAGTGGGAGCTAACAACAAGTACTCTTGGACTCTTGGAGGGGAGTCAGAAGTGATACTACCCTCTTGTTACCCCTAACCTAGCCTAGCCTGGAAGGGTTAGAGGAGGACCAGCCAATGTAATGCATGGTGAAAACAGGGGGCTCCCATTTCAAAATTATTAAGAATTTCTACACATTGACTCCAGAGCATTAAACCAAGAGCAGGGCTCTTCTGAGTGCAAGGTGAGGCTGCACAGGTCGCATGTCCATGAAGCTGCCCCAGTTAGAGAGACTTCATTAAAGAAAGCACCCTGCTCCCACCCATTAAGAAAATGCATGCAAATGGGCATAAGCTAGGTCTCAGTGAATTATAATAGTTGATGTTTATTGAGTATTTACTGTGTGCCAGTAAGCATCTGATGCATATTAACTAATCTATTACTCCAAAGTAGGTTTTATTATTACCTCCATTTTAGAGATAAAGAAATTGGAGCTCAGAGAGGTTAAGTAACCTGTCCAACGTCACACAGCTGCTAAGTGGGATCATGATTGCAAATCCAGTCAGTTGAGATCCTGTTTCTCTCAACACAAATGCCAATTCTCCAGAACTCTCCTAGTCCACATCCCCCCTGAGTGTTACAAACCAGGGAGAGAACAGAATCAGTATTTACTTACTCTTATGTCGTAGTCTGAACATACATATACATTCCAATATCTAACTTGCTTTTAATGTTTTTTTTTCCGCTTCTGTAAATAAGGATGCCATGTAAAACAAAGTAGATAAGAGAAAGAAGAAGAGAAAAAAAATTGTTGATAATTCTGTCAATCAGACATATAACCACTGGTAATATATAGATATCTAGACATCTAGTCATGATACCTATTTCTCCAAATGCATTATTCTTGCACTTTAATAGTGATAGTCTTTCTGGAAGAGTTTTCCAGATCACTGGATTTTTTCAGCAGCGTCATTTTTAACGTCCCTCTGCTATGCCATCGTATTTGTGTAAGATAATTATGTATTCGTTAATGTAAGTATTGTTGGACATTGGTGCTGTGCACCTTCTTTGTTATTCAAGATAGTTCTGGGATCATAATGGGGTAGCTAAATCTTTGTTTCCGCCCATGATCATTTCTTAAGGGAAAATTCCTAGAATCTGAAACACTAAGTCAAAGCGCAAATTCTGTTTACTTAAGAAATTAAATTAAAACAAAACAAAAAGAAGACAGCACTGCCACCTTGCATTTTAAACACACCGCTCATGGGCCGTGGCGATGGCTGGAGGTTGCCACACACACGGGGATGGCCACTCACACTTTCTAATGATTTGTTTCATGCCTTCACACCATCTCTGTTTTAGATTGTGGCCAAGAAATACCGCAACTATGATATCCCGGCTGAGATGACAGGCCTGTGGCGGTACCTCAAGAATGCCTATGCCCGGGACGAGTTCACCAACACCTGTGCAGCTGACAGTGAGATTGAGCAGGCCTACGCCGATGTCGCCAAACGCCTCAGCCGATCCTGAGCACAGCCATTGCCCCCTGTCCCCGCTGCAGGACTCAACCGCTCCCCTAAGACTCCAGCTTCACACCCTCTTCCTCACTGCCTTGGGACGCACTTTTTGTAATCAAGCCTCATCTTGCTGGCATCGTGGGAACTCCAGCCTGCTCTCTTTCACGTAGGTCAGCACCATCGCTGGCCTCCTCACATAGGAATCTAGCCGAAATGATAGACACAGTCCACCTCTCGGCCTGGGTTCTGATCTGGGTACAGCATGTTTGGGGTCAGTCAGTGTTGGAGAGCCCACATATGGGATCACCACTGGCTCCTTCTGCCAATATCAAAATACCTTCTCAGATGCTCTAGAAACATGCAACACCAGCTGCTTTTCTACCCTCCTCTCCATCCATACCTGCAAGACCAAGGACAAACACCATCTTCATCCTTCTTAGAAAGAGATCCATTGCCCCATTAGGAGAGGACCGAGCTGGCTATGGGCTTGGGCGTCTGGCAAACGCAGCTTCCGTCTCACTACTTCTCACACTCCTGTTATTGGGCACTAAGGGACAGATTGGAAAGTCACTTGAGACACACTCTCAGTTTGCTGCAGTGCCAGGAAGTGCTCAGCTGCTGCTGTGCACCTGGCCCATGCTGTCCCTGGCTTCCATACTGTTCAGGCCCTGCCAGGAGAGGAAATTGGCATGCAATTCTAAACTGCAGTGACTGGGGATGGGAGAGGAGGAGAGCAGTGTTGATGCCAAAAGGCCCACAGGGTCTACCAGCCATGGGGTTTGCTTGCATAGTTAGGAGTAGTTGTTTCAGTGCTGATTACATGCCTGGGTTTGACTGTGCTTACCAATGAGTGGCTTTTGATCCAAGAGAAAGTGGATGGGAATGGGAGGAGGAGGGATGGGTGAAGACAAAGGAGTTCTTTATGAGGCTCGATGTTCCCTGGTAAACTTCTTAAAAGGCTTTCTCTCATGATCTAAGTCTTGGATTGGTGGTGTCAAGTAACTGCTAACCTTACAGTAAAAACCCAAGAATGGGCCAAAAATGTCTTCCTGGTTTCTCCCAGCTGCTTCTGGAATGCAGGTCTGTTGGCTGGGTGCTCTCCAGCAGCTGCTCCTGCCTGATTCGCCTGCAGCCTCTAAAGGGTGAGAGCCACATTTAGGAGGTGGCCTGATCATGGACCGCCTTAGGAAGAAAGTCTATGAGCCTTTCTGACTAAGAAACCATGTGGTTTGAACTTGAAGAAAAATATAGACCCATCTGGGTTAATCTTCCTGCAGTCAGATACAACTGCCAGATTAAAAAAAAAAAAAAAAAAAAAAAAAAAAAAAAAAAAAAAAGAATAATTTTTAAGCTAATATTTTACTGTTTTGTCATTCTCCTTGAGTTTCACCTCCTAAAAAGCTTACTCGGCCCAAGCTTGGGGACTCATGCAGAGGAAACCAAGAAAAATGTACTCATCAACTACCTCTCCCAGTGAACGCCCAGTGAGAAAATTCATTTGCCGCAGGCCCTTACCCTCAACAATCCCCCTTCTATAGCGTTCGCCGGGAAAGGGTGAGGTTCCCAAGTGCCGGAAAGCCCCTGGACTTGGCTCATTTCTCAAGGAGGGCAGGACAGCACGGGTCCTTTCCATTGAAACATCAACAAATTCTAACCCAAGCAATCCCCGGACCTACCTGCCTCCAGGGATCTCTGGAGAAAAAAAGTGACCCATTGATCAAATCAGATGAGAGGAAGCAGGAGGTCTCCCAGAGCCCATTGAGGAAGAGGAACTTTCTCAGTAGGACACTTTATAAGCCTGAGAAAGCTTTGAAAAGGCAGAAAGAATTGATTCATTTCCCCCTCTAAAGGAATCTTTCCAGGTCTCCCTGGAAACTTCGCCCCTGGAGATGTTTAACAAGGAGAACTGGTGAGGAAACAGCTCCTTTTACTGTAGGGAAAAGCCCCAAACTGGCCTCCTGGGGGATGAGGGCTGGAATGATCCCCAAGGCCTTTTAATTAGTGTGAAATCCTGTTGTACTCAGAAACCCTTTCCCGAATTTACAGCACAGGCAAGATGAGGCAGTTTACTTCGCTGAGATCCACAGTTGGGCTGTTCTGGAAACACATCTGTGAATCGTAGCCAATTGCCACAGAGAAAACAGAACCAAGCCTCCGGTCAGACGACTCCACCCCAGAGAAGCCTGCAGAATTCCAAGGACTCGGATTAGATATTCAGAATTCAGCAACTGGCAAGTCCTTAAAAACAAACAGGCCAAACCAAATCAATATTGTTGTTTCTAGATGTCCCTTATGTGGTTGAGTTAGTTTTACAGAGATAAATATATGAAGGCACCGAGGTAGGGTGTTACATGATCAATTACAGCCATTTGAAAGAGAGGGAGGAGTTGCAGAAGGAAGGTGCTTCTGGGTACTTAATTCAGAAATATCTTTATATTTCAGTACTGGATTATCATATAAGGCAAGTTACTTTGGACTAAGAGTTATGGTGTCTTATGACCAGATTTAGTATAGTATATCAAAGTAACAGTAATATTAATATGACTTTTCAATTTTATTTTTTCAAAAGAGGTCTTTCTCCAGATGCTTCAGCCCATCTGGACTTCTTATCATATGGGCAGGACGTCATGTCTCAGCAACAGAGTGGTGAGGTCCTTAGGTGTCCTACGAACAACTCAGGGAGCACCAGAGGGTCTGCAGTTGGGGCCCCACACTACACAGCTATAGGGTAGGAGGTTTCCTTGTCATTGGTCCTGAATGAATACGAATCTCTCAGAAAGAATTTTGGTGGCACGGACGGGGATGTATTTGTGTTAAGATCTTATTTTATTTTGTATTTATTTATCTCCTTTGAGTTGCACAGCACTATTGGGGGTGGGGGGAACAGGGTAGTGGGAGGCGAAGGCAGAAGCAAGAGTCAGACTCAGAACGACTGAGTTGAATTCACCATCTATTCAGTACTGCCTGTGTCTGAGGTTGGCCCAGAGAGAAGGTATTGAGTAAGATTTTAATAACTATAAAAAGTAAGCTGGATAAGTAAGATCATGATGGATCCAGAGCATAGTTTCTTCAACTCCTGATAAAGAAAGTCAAATGCTTGATAAATTCAGAGTCACCGATGTGAGCATGACTACAGACTTTTAAGCAAGAGGTAGAGTGGCCTGGCACCAAGCAAATGAGCTGAAATGTCGGAAACACAGTGCATTAGCTTATTTGCCCACACGATCCCAAACTAGTTTTAGCTTGGGATATGATTCTGTCCTCAGTGTTCTCTTCTCGTGTCCGTGGGGCCAGCAAAGTCTTGATCTTATCCAAAAAGGCCACACCAAGAGTGAGGTTTCCCAGGCTGCCTTTTCAGGCCCTTGTCAAATGAAACAGCAGAAGCCTTTCTCCGTTCTGTGCCCCACGGCCATTCCACAGGCAGACAATACCAAGCGTCTTAGAACTGTCATAAGATAGATCATGCCTGGAATAGATCTTGGCTATATGAGAATCCCAGAAATCAAAAAGGCCTGGACAAATAGAACTAAGAGGGAGGCAGAGGCAGGAAGGTGGCAGGGGGGCTATCTAGGAAAGAGTTCAGCATCACCGTGAGAGTCTATGTCTAAAATTAAACGACCAGTAGAAGCAGCAGTTGGGTATCCAGTAGGTATTTCAGTGACTTATCTCAATTTCCACCTGGCCAGGGGCCATCTCAACTGCACAATCAATCAAGATGCTGGTGTCAGCCTCCTTGGAAACAGGAAACGTTAACTGATGGTTAAAACTAAGTTCAATGATTCCCAAGAGATCACTTTCTTAATATTTTCATATGACATTAAAGAGAATCTTAAGAAAGCATCAGAGAAAGACGTGTGCATGTGAAGCACCCTGATTCTGATGTTAGGAGAACTCAAGTGAACAGGACCTGTTGCATACAGCCCCACTGTCTTCTATCCATTGCTCTTTATCATTCAAACCAAGCAACGTGTGCCCTCCTCCTCGTCAAAATACATTCTTCTCCTTTGTCGGTATGCTTCTCCCAGCTTAGTGTCAGGCTACTTGCAACTCATAATTATGTATGATCCAAAGTGTGTATAATTTCATTTAACGTTATTTAAAGAAATATGTCTGATTCCCTTCTTGCAACCAAAAATAAAGAAAATACTTTGCCTCGATATAAGGTTTGGGCTATTCTGTGTTTCTATAGAAGCAGTATGGTTTTTGGTAAAATATACTTTCAAGGATCCAGTCATCTAAAGCATTTTATGTAGAGTTAGAGATTTCATAATATTGCCTATACATATATTTAAAATGTAAAATATCCGGTTGGTGTTTGAATTTGTCTTACTTTCCTAGCCACCTTGTTGGTTGTCTCATCTTATAAACTGGGGAGTTAACTAGCTTAACAAAAGATGCTTAGCTTTTATAAGAGAGCAAGCGTTTCATTTTACAAAGACACTCCAAGTGATGGTTACTTGATTTTCTCGAGACCTTTAACTGTGGTGATGAAATAACAGGACTTGCTTTCAAGCCTTAATAAATGTAAAATGCCTTTGAATGAAGATACAGCTGAGTGTTTTCCTCATGAATCTGAACCAATTACAAATTTGTGTTCCAGTTTTGATTGGTATTGACTGATTCAAATAAAGTTGGTTTATTTTCAAATATTACTAAAGTGGTCATCTAACTTCTTATTTGAGATGGGGATTTCCTATGCTGTTTTAGTTGACAAGTATGAAGTACCTTTTTTTTTTTTCTAAATAAAGGTTAATTTATTTTTCCATTATAAAAGAAAATGTTTATTATTTTTAAAAACCAAAAGCACACCTGGATAATTTTTGTATTTTAATAGAGACGGGGGTTTCACCACATTGGCCAGGCTGGTCTCAAACTCCTGACCTCAAGTGTTCTGACTATAATCTCAGCTACTTGGGAGGCTGACGAAGGAGAATCGCTTGAACCTAAGAGGCAGAGGTTGCAGTGAGCCAAGATGGCCCCAGCCTGGGCAGCAGAGCAAGACTCCCTCTCAAAAAAAAATATAAAAAGCAAATGAAAAGTGGAAGAAGAAAAAGAAAAGCACAAAGTTTGTGAACCAGCCATCCTAAAAACAATTTTTTTTTTTTTTTTGGCAAGGCTAAATGAACATTATTTCATAATACTTGGGCAAGGTAAAAAATTATACTGATGCCTTTTCAGTGTTTTATATTTCCCATTTGCATTGTCATCCATGGCAGTAGATCAACAGTGACAGTCCAGGTATGATTTAAAGAATTCCTCAAAATACCGTTTTTCTTGTGCCCCGAGCTCTCTGTTGGCTCTCAGTGGCTTGTGTAGCCTTGTCAGCATTTCTGAGCTGAAATCTCTACTCTCAGCACCACATACTGACTCTGGATTCAGGTTCCCAGAGTCCTCAGTAAGCTTTACCTAAAGCCAACGTGTCTATGAGCATTCACATTGCTAAAGGGTACAAAGTTCTCAGCTGTCTCCTGGTCCTCTAGACTCTGCTGTAACAGCTCATCATTACCTTGGAAGAGATAAAACAGCAGATCCAGGGGTAGGTCCTCACGGGAGGGGCAGCCAGGGGCTCAGGAAGGTGCAGCAGATGCAGCTGGTGGTCATCCCACCATCCCCACTCTCATCTTCCACAGGCAGTGCTCTGATTGGGTCAGGAGTCCACCATCCCATTCCTCCCTCCTCCCTGACCCTACACACACACTCCCACCCTCAGATAACTGGAGCAAGTGTAATTTCATTCCCAGTTCCAAGGGTAAATCACAAATGATCTGGGCAATCCTGCTGGCTGTGGTTGGTTTCAAAGTGGGCTCTTGACCAAGTTCTACCCAGTATTGTGATGGCAGGTTTGCTCAGGAACTTCTGAGAAAGATCCCCTTGTTAAGAAAGTGACTCCTTAGGTCACTGCTTCTGGATGTGGGTATGAAGTCTGGAAGTGCTGCTGCCCTCTGGGGACTGCAAAAGGGTAGCAGCCTCAGGGCAAAGGCAACGTGCTAAAAATGCAGCAAGAGACAGAGACAGAACCTGGGTCCTTGATTTGACCACAGAGTTGCTAAATTAACAAACCCTGAAACTGGTCCTAACTCTGGATTTCCTGTTCTGTAATTCATCCCAGATTGTTTGAGGGTGGTTTTCTTTTTCCCCATGAGTGGCCCAAGGCATTCTAAGTGGTATATTAGCCAAGTTGGTTGTGGTGGCTGTTTTTTTTAATAGCCAGTTAGATCATCAGACTGTTCACCCAGGAGGCGTCCCAGGCTTCCACTGTATAAATGTAGGACATCAGCTCTCCAGGCTGACCAAGAGCGGGAGCATGGAAGACATCATCTCTCTGTGTCTTGGTTTCCTTACCAGTGCTATGAAGAAACCAAGGGGCACAGGATGGCAGTGACTGTACTTGGCATTGAGGAAGACTGTCCTATTCCAGAGAAGGTTCCAAAAAGTGACATTGGAAATGAGAGTATCTGATTATACTCAAAGGTGCTGTGATCTGTGCTTCTTTTATTTCTATGTCTAGTAGCTCACTTACCCAGAGTCCCCAGTAAGTTTTACCATGTGGAAAAAGGCGTGGAGTATTAGACTGGATAGACAGGAAGCTCAGGACTGAAAACAAAGAAACCAGAATTCAAATCCTAGGTCCATCATTAAATTACTATGTGACCTTGAGCAAGGCTCCATTCTGGGCCTCAGTTTCCTAAAGGGAATTATGAAGGCACCTTGTCTATGAGATTATACAATCTCTGATGAAGAGTACTTTTTGGCAATAAAGAATTATTTTAAGTGGAATGATATTTCAACCAATTGGAATATTCAATCTATTGGAAGATCTCTCTGTGGTCTTCTTCAATGAGAAGAAGCCGATAACCAGAAAATACATGGCCATCAGGTATTTGTCTATCTGAATTTTTTTTCTTTTAAAGTAAATTTCAGAGTATGAGTTGGAGTCAATTTACATTATATCGATCTCTTATCTTTCTACCTAGATTCACTGAAATCTACATCCATATGCAATAAACATGACCCTGAGGCCCTGCAACTGGGTTCATTAACCTGCATTTATTTATGCAGAGTAAAGCGGAGTCAAAATGTGGGAATATTTTTAATTAAAAAATGTGGAAATGAGAAAAACAAGTTTCAATGTAATCCTCCTTTAAATAGAATATCTCAATGCCCCAAACACTTGTATCTCCAAATTCATATAGGCCTTGATGTCTAGACTGCTGAGATGCATAATACAAATGCCATAATAGAAACCAGTGGAGAACCCAGTACTATTCCGTCTGTGGAGCAGTGCTTGGTTTCACACCATTTTCAGTCTGTCTAGAATTGTTTCCTGTGTGTTAGTCACTGTTGCCACCCTGTCTCCAATTAAAAACTAAGCTCTCTTAAGAGATAGAGTGTAGGTTATTCCATTTTTGCGCTGTGCCTCACCTTGTCTAGCACTCAGCAAATATTAGATGCTCAAAAGTATTTATTAGTGGTTGACTGGAGAAATCATGAGACACTATTGCAGACTTCACCTTGGATCTCACTCTTCATTCCCTTCTAGTCCCTGACACCTACTGTACCATAACTATGAAAATAGAGTGAAAATAGAGAGCTAAGGAGAGAAATGGGTGTCTATGTTAGTGAAATATTCTTCCAAGGTGCTTCTGAAGAATGAATCCTTCTAAAACAGTGTATACAGCATTTATCTGCCTGGCTGGAAAAATGAAAAGCTACCTAAGCTCATTTTATCACATGGTTCTAATGAATTAATAACTTAGTCAGTTGTCCAAGTTAGCCACAAAATTGTGCCTAGATTAGGTGTTGTATTTAGAAACAGGTTAGAAACTTTGAGGCGAGGATGATTCTAGATGCGACAGCCCTAGAATTAATTGGCTAAGGTTTAAACAAATGCATCTTTTTTTCTGCATATAGACTCATTAGGGAAAATTTTGAAAATACAGATAAGAAACGAAAAAATAAAATAAAATAAATCACACTGGTAATCCTTCTGCCCATAGATAACCACCTTTAATTTGTAAATAATTATTTTCCCAGACTTTTTCTAGTGAGATATAAATATAAACATGAATACATTTTTAACCAAAAAAAAGAGCTAATATTGAGAACTGAACCCAACATACCTTCCTGTCTCATGATATATGATTCTGGGGCAAAATATATTTTTCTGTTTCTATGCCAAACAATACTAGGAATGGATAAAAACAGCTTGCTACTTTCTCCAGGAAATGTTTGCTTACTTATCAAGACCTACAGTTTGCTCAACAATAATTGTTCAAGACCTCACCTTACTGTGCCCGTTGATTCAAAGCTTTTACATTATCAACTTTGCCCAGTCCCAACCAGTTTTCTGCCTGTCAAGACCCACCTTATCATCATTTGGCCCTAAATGCTCCTAAGACCCTGTAAATACCCTCCCCTTCTGATGTGCTACTAAGACTCTGTCAAGGAGGTGTTCTTTGTTGAAGTATATCTGATAAACATGGCTTTTCTTGGTCAACAAGTTTTTCTAGCCGTCTTTTCTGAGAATTATCATCAGCCAACACTGTACACACTCTTTGTTAATGGGATTTTTTTTCATGTATACATCATGAATATCTTTCCATGCCCTTTTTCGTCTATAGCATCGTTCTAGTGTGTTACAACATTTAACCAGTTCCCTATTATTTAGACGTTAGGGTCACTCTAAGTTTTTACTCTTATAATCAATACTATAATGAAGTACCAATAAGCTGGCTTGTTCATTATCTTTATTTTTCCCTTAGAATAGCTTTCTGGAGGTGGAATGGCTAAGTCAAAAAGCATACCTATTGTAAGGCTCTTGAGATAGATTACTAAATTTACCTCCATGTAAGGCTCTTGACATAGATTGCAGAATTTACCTCCAGATTGCTCCAACTTACTCTCTCACCAGCAGAATATGAGTGATTATTGTCTCACATCATCACCAGTATTGAGATTTATTATTTTCAATTCTACTCAAACTGGTAAGTGAAATGTACCTCATGGTTGTCTCTTTTTTTTACCACGTGTTGAAGATCTTTCCCAAGGACGCAATTCCACTTTCTTTACCATCTTTAGGTTCTCTTTCTCTCAGACAGAAGTGTGCTGGTTTCCTCCCCTATAACTTAGCTATGTTTCCATGAGACTGTCACACCGTGGGATGAGTTGACTGTGAACTGGTTCTCATGGCAGTTGTTGCTGCCTTTCGGCATATTTTGAAGTAGGAGACAAAACATAGATTCTTTCTTTAACCAAAATGTAAGAAAATTAGAAAAGAAGAAATTTCTTTTTTAGTCCACATAAGGATTACTATTTTAGGTCAAATCCAGCATATGCCCTGCCAATATAGTCTCAAGGGTACTAGGAGCATATTATGGTAAGGAGTGTATATGTATTGTGGGGGTAGGGAGTGCTCTCTGACTTATACCTTTAGAAACATTAGTATTGGACTTGTGAAGAGCTATTTTCTACCCATAAATTCCACCAGAAATCTCACAATTCATTGAGCTCATGGCCTTCAGTGTAAGATCAGGCTGCCGTTAGGGAAAGTACTGTGGATGAGAGAAGAGAAACCTGGAGAGCTGGCAGGCCCTGCCCTGGGATTTGTGGAAGTGTGATATAGGAAAATGAAGCAAAAGAACCTGAAATCAGA